AAATTAGTCAGACTATTTATCCAAGATGTGCAACTCAGACCAAACATCATGTGTGCAATGGTGGGTGGTTTGCATGTTTGAATAATGGACAACGTTTCAGTGCTAGACTAATACCCAATGTAAATCATCAAATGATGGCAGGGTTTTCAACAAATAGTTTCGATTACATTTTGACCAATAACAAGTGTTGATCGGAGATGATCATCAATGAACAATCATGGACAAAACTCGTTCAACTATATAGTGGATGAATGTAACATTGCATGATTGTCTACTTATCAGCAATATGTATATTAATGACATGAACAAACAAATGGATGATATCATTAGTACAGGTTTTGATCAAGGTTTTGAAAACCAACTTCAAGTCTTTGCGCCAGGTTGTCATAATCTTGAATGACTGGTGACTGTCAGTGCAATATTCCTACTCAATACGTTTATGGACACGGTAGTTTCAGTAAATCATTGCATGATTGGTTACTTTGACATGTTGGATTTACATGGTACTCAATGGTATGATTGATAGGTCAATTGGCAATTGTTTCGTGTTTTTAGTCATTTATTTGTCTGCAATAAAAGCGGCATGATCTCATATACCAGGAGTTTGACAAAAATACAAGACTCATTGTCATGACACTATTTCAAGAGTAGTCATTGCACATTGGTGTTCACCAGACAAACAAACCATCGAGTATAGCGTATTTTTCAATTTTCAGTTTTTGGCATTCAGGTTTGGGTTTTGATTGATCGTTGAACCAAGACTAAATCATCATTGGTCGTTACAGCTGGCCAAACAAGCTTACTCGATAAATATTACAAATCATATAACCCAAATCATCAAAATCACTCCAAACTGCTGACAAGTCATTGACAAGTCACCGCCAAGTCACTGCCAAGTTGGTTGTTGCTAATTCATCAGTGTTGGCAGCTACAATAATCAATCAACATATGTTTTGAAAATTGTTTTGAAAATCGATTCGCACAATCTGCACAGCTTTTGGACGAGTCATGATCCAAGATACTATCGCTGTTGGTTTTGATGTTATAACCAATTCAATGCCACATCCAAATGTTGTCAAAATCATCCAAAAACTATTGTGTTGACAAGCATGTATATTGGCATCAATTCCATTGTAAAAATAGTCGTATAGTTTAGAGTGATTGCTCGCGAGGTCAACAATATCACCACATTCACGAGACGGAACTTTTACAAAGCTACAAATCATATACTGCATGCGTGTCGTTGGCATCGAGTCTGTGATTGTTGAACAGTGTTATGGTCTTGATTGTAGTCAGTCCACCAAATCCAAAATGTGTTGGGTTTGAAAATACTATATATGTTTAAAATCATTGATCTGACAATTAGGTCGCATCTTGTTGAATCCCAGTCTGAATATTTGACACCAGCTGCTGCAATTGCATCCAATA